TGTTTATTGATTGATTCGTTTGCTACAGCTTATCAATCTTTTGCATGTTATTTAAAGCCAGAAAATAATTTGTCAAAATAATTGAAGTAAGAATTTATTTGGGTAGTAATAATGATTTAGTGCTACAAGTCTTACTAATTAAGATTCGAACTCGTCTATCCGATTAATAATTCTGATCTATTATCGATTACACCACCCGCACATTCAAGCTTACAGCGCCTAGTATTAGGAGCATGCGTGATTGGGGACTCAAGATATTGCCTTATGACCGTCACTATGTTATTAGCATTTGCTACTTGCTACCTACATATATACATATATACATTACAAATTAAACCAACCACAAACTGATTATTAAAGGCTATAATATTTCCATGGATTTTGAGGTAATTCTGTGGTCCTATTTATCATCTAGATCCGTGAATTATTTATTTATTTTTTACAGATTAAGTGACACTGCACAACTTGCTGTCTTTGTGCGACGAGTGACTTTTCACATCTTTAAAGAAATTATTCAGTTAAGGAAACCGTGACCAGAGCAGACATCTTTGAAGCTTTGTTGAAAATAATATCAGAAATTAAGTTTGATTTTCCAAAGCTAATTGGCATCACAAATGATGGTGCCCCAGCAATGGCAGAACAACAAATAAAGAAAGCCTCCGTTGCACTACTTCAAGACCATATGGAAAGTCACACAGGAACTTGTTAAAATTTATTGAATTATCCTTTAAGAGATATTGTGTGTCACAACTGACTATTAAAGGCTATAATATTTCCACGGATTTTGAGGTAATTCTGTGGTCCTATTTTTCATTTAGATCCATGAATTGTTTATTTATCTCTTTTTTTTACATAAGGTTAAAAGATTAGTCTTCTATACCCCACCAGCCGTCTACCTTTCTCTTTGGTTTGAAAATAATTTGATACTAAACGGCAAGAGACGAAAAGAACTTTGTCTCAAAAACTAAAACTCGGAATCTGGACAAGCTCCACCGCCTCACCTGATAAAAAATATTAAATACAATGCTACGGCGGAATATCGGAAAAATGTGAAAATTAAGATGTAATAGAATAGTGGGCGGGGCTTATCATAGATTGGTTGGGGGTACAAGATACTTGCATCGGCTTTGATGGTTAGGGTAATATGTACGAGTTTTGACTGAGGCGCACGGATTTGCACTGTGTGCCGTCCCTAATAACGAACTAGCAAAATCCTTACATAATACCACCTCATTGTACGACGGTAATAAGTAACATCATTTTTAATCGAGAGTACAAAATTAAAACCAGGTAAAAAAGCAGCGCGATGAATTTTTTAGCGCTAGAATTTTTTTCGCGCCAATCGAAATTCACAGACGTACGTAACCATCTTATATCAATGTTATTATCGATGAGATTAAGACGTGAATTTATTTTAATCATTTCACCGCATGCAAGGCAGTACAACCACTACGATACAAGGGGTTTACGTAGTGGGAAAGAATAAAAAAGAACAACATTATTAAGACGCGGGAACAATAGAAAAATAATCCAGAAGATAGTAGATAACGATTGACATTGCATTTAAATTATTTACGTTTACATATGGCCAACTGAACTGTAAATTGATGAGACCTCATTACCAGTCTAGTACTGCGCTTAAATTCATACAACCTCGATACCATATCGAAGTGTTCATTTGAACAATTATCATGAAAATATTTATAGGAAAGACACATGGAAGCTATATTACGACGATGGGTAAGAGACTGAAGTCAAGATGCCAGGTCAGGACCAATAATATTGCAGATTCTTCTTTGGATTTTTATCAAGAATCACTAAATATAAAGCAGCAGCACCGGACCCCTTATGGCAGCAATATTCAAAGTCCGTATCACAAGTTTGTTGAAAACATTGCAATGCATTTAGATCCGTATCTAGAGCACTTGGGAATAACAGATGCTGTAAGCTTAGAAGTGCGGGTGGTGTAATGGATAACGTCTCTTTTAATCATATCTACTTGTCTCATATTTTCTAGTTTTAAATAACCTGTAAATGGCTTGATAAACCGTAAAAATCGAATCAGTCAATTCGTAGAATTTGGTTTTATTGAATCGATGCCTTATCAACGATTACTTGTTTATAGGAATATATGATGGAAATATAACATCATCAACAAATTATCGAAGTTTTGCTTTTTATATTCATTTAAAATGAAATTCTTTCTTTTGCAGGTTTATCGTGTTTTATTGTTTTTCAAAGAAAGTTTCAAGGCTTCATAATGAAAGTGGCACAATTTCTTCAAGTCATTATTGTCGCCATTCTATCTGATCGACTAACCAGTGCTGATAACATTCTCTTCTTGTCTATACCTTACTATAGCCATATCAACTCGATGGTGAAAGTGGCTGGAGAACTGACCAATAATGGACACAACAGTTACATCACTATAGTTGAGAACTTTAAGGACAAATTTGGTCCAGTAAAAAATGGAGTCAATTTCGTCATAACAGAGGACTTTCCAGAGTTTACGATATTTAATGAAATAATACTAAACGTGTTACGTTTTCCAGATAAGTACAATTTGAAAGAATCATTCAGTGCCTTCCATAAACTCTGTGATCGTTATCTTTTAGACGAAGAACTTTTTCGGAGGCTCAAATCAATCAATGCGTCTCTAGCGGTTGTTGACTCGAATTTCGATAGCAACTTTCTCGTTCTTTTTGCCTACAGACTTCAAATTCCGTTTATTTTACTGGGGGCACATAACCAGATCAACATTCACCGAACACCATGGACAATTTCATTTTTTCCACACGACTCTCTCCAGCAGGTAAAGTTATCGTCATTTTCGATGAAGCTCAGGAACGCGTTGCTGCATTTCAAGGATTACATCAATCCAGCAGCCGGTTCTATGGAAACAAATATAAAAGTCTACGCACCTGAACGACCGGACATTACTTTTGATGAACTTATCAGACAAACTAAACTGTATATTGTCGATTCCGATCACTTCCTCCATTGTGCATTACCAGCGCTTCCAAATGTCAAATACATTGGCGGACTTGCTGTTGGTCCGGCAGAACCTTTGAAAGGAAAAATCTTGGAATTTGTTACTGCTTCGAAACATGGAGTCATCGTTGTATCTCCCGGAAGTATTGTCAATTGGGACATTCACGTAAAGAAAATGGCAGAAGCGTCCAGTAAGATTAAATACGATGTCGTCTGGAAACAATCAAATTCTTCTTATTCCCGCCCAAATGTTCTACTAACAAAATGGCTGCCCCAGAACGATCTTCTTGGTCACCCAAACACCAAACTATTTATCACACATTGTGGAAACGGCGGTCTGTATGAAAGCTTGTACCACGCTGTTCCAATGATTGGATTTCCAGTGTATTATGATCAAATTGTTAATAATAAAAACATCCAGTTAAAAGAATTCGGAATTTCAATGGATCTTAATAATTTCACAGTGGACGAGTTGGTAAAAAATATCGAGGAAGTCATTGAGAATCCAAAATATAAGAAAAACATTGCAAAGATGAGCGAAATATTTCGATCCCAAGATCTCCCATCGGCTAGAGTAGCACGTCTTGTAAATGAGATCGTGAAATATGGAGGCGATCATTTAAGATCAGAGATTCAAGACATTCCGTTGTATGAGTTTTTAATGCTTGATATTCTGGCCGTCCTTTTTATGGTTGTTTCCATAATTTTGTTTCTGGCAGTATTTCTTTTGAGGAAATGTTTCACAATTGTTTGCAGAAGAAAGAAAACAAAAACAGAATGACTTTGGTAATTCATTCTTTGGATTTCGACACTAAATACATCAAACAGCCTTTAAAGTTATGTTTATAAAATCAAGTTTTGCGGAGATATTTCGTCTTCCCCGTCTTTGTACCCTTCCCCTTCCGGGGGTGGGCGACCATGACTCTCCACACTTCCCCATCCTTCGTAGTCCTTAGAAGCGTTTTTTTTTTCCTTTTGCCAAGCCTCCCGTTTTTCATTTCACCATCCATTCACACAAGCTCGTCAGCTAGAGCACAAGTTGCCTTCCCCTATACCCCTCTTGCCCTCAATGTGCCATGGAGGAGATAAGTATTTATAGTCACCCCTTCCTCATTATTGCCTCCTAGATACTTCAACTGTCTATTTCGAATTCTGATTATAACTTTCCTTCTTGTTACCATTTAAAAAAAAAATTCCTTGTTGCTTACTCGACACGTCCATGAAATTTTATTTAATCATTTCACCCCATGCAAGACATTAAAGCCACTAAGACGCCGCTGGGTACTCAATGTCAGAGAATATGAGAAAAATATACTATTAAGGAGGCAATAAAAGAGCAACACTTAAGAAGACAGAAGATAACGATTGACATTGCATATATATTTTTGAAGGTCAAAGTTGACAGGGAATCAAGAAGCCGGAAGGGAGTTCCTCATGAGAAAAGTACGAGAAAAGAACCTGTTAGCATAGAACTTTACATCTAGCAATTCAATTGTGAATTGATGAAACCTTGCCGCCAATCTAGTACTGGTCTTAAATTCTAGGTACCACAGCGATGTGCTCACTCTAACAATTAGCATGAAAGTATTTATAGAAAAGGCAAAGGGAAGCTACAATATGATTGTGGAAAAGGGACTGAAGCCGAGACGCCAGGGAAAAACCAATAATATTGCTGATTCTTTGGATTTTATCAAACATCTCTAAATATAAAACAGGAACAACAAACCAGATGTGACGATTATATTTACAGCAGGGACAAATAGTATAAACATCTAAGATATATTTTGGCGTGAATAATTGTGTAGCTCGATTTTCCTTCTGGGAAATACGCTTTCCACTTCATATGGGTGGAAAGAGGTAGTCCGGGAAGGTGAAATGAGTCATTCTCCTGAAGGTTAGACATCAACCATAATGATGAAAGGTAAAAAGGGTTCCTCTTTCGCACTATCCTTTTTTAGATACCATTTTTTAGTTGCTTCCCGTTTCATCTTCATCTTTGGGGATATTGTATGGCATTCACTGACATGAAAGGGATCTATCTATCTATCTATCTATCTATCTATCTATCTATCTATCTATGTGTATAAAATAGACAATGTTTGAAGAATATACCAAACGGAAAAAATGTTTCAGTAAAACTTATTCGGATTTATCAGATGAAAAAGAAAGAAAGATATATACGAGCATGTATTTGTGTGTTTGCTTAAATAATAAATAATTTTCTATATCAAAATTTTGGTCAAATTTGTTACAGTGACAAATTATTGCCTTTAACGTTATGTTTTGTAAAATACCACTTTTGTATTCATATAATCTTTTATTTAAATTTCTCCGATGTATTTGTTGTGGCAATCATTACTGGTAGTTGGTGAGTAGGCCGTTATATATTTTTTGATTCGTTGAATCTGTCAGGAGAGCCGTTTCCTATATTATATATATTTTATGAGCCTTTTGTTTCACATTGAATTTGAAATTACCAGCAAATAACAAAGTCACACAACACTCACCTGGTGCGGGTTGTGAGATCTACTGGTGTTAAATACAATATTGAAAAATAAATGAGAATTACCAAAAAAGCGTTGGGGATAATGAACATTCCTCCCTATTCCTCTTCATTAATACATTAAGGAAGGCGCCGTAGTTTCTTTCTTTTTTTCATTTCTTGTATTTCCCCAAGTACTTTCAGTATCATCCGAGATCATCTTCAGTGGTCAATTGCTAATATATATACAATATATCAAAAGATAAATTTTCGATGAAGCTGAAAATATTCTTAAACAGTATCAAAAATATTAGTTTTGGGGAAACAAAACAGAACAGAAAACTGTAGCAAGAAAAGAAATATAATATTGTTCATGTTGCTTTACAATAAAAAATGTTAAATAACCGAATAATGAACCTATCGTCAAATACTTCCCCAATTCCAGCAATCTGTAAAATGTATTCCAATGGAATACAGTCAAGGTTATATTTTTTCTGTTCCTTAAACATTTTATATATCATGAAATGAAATAAGGGAGGAATCGCCAGCATATCACAAAGTCACACTAAACCCACTTAGAGTACTTTGTTGGATCTGATGGTGTTAAATACAATATTGAAAAATGAATGTCAATTAGCGAAAAGCGTTGGAGACAATGAACATTCCAACCTGCACCTCATTATTTACAACATAAATATTTTAAAGGCACCATTAAACCAGAATTAAATTAAAAAATGATATATTGTGCGTTAATTACAAAGAAATATGCTTATATATATATATAAAGGTGTATTTAGGCAGTAAGGATTATTTTAAACATGTTTTTTTAACCAACACCGACAAGGTCTGTCTGCCCATCTTTTTATGTTTTTCCAACGTGTTGCTAATTTGTTTTCTGACAGAATTAAATTTGATAAATATTCCAAAGTTTGTTTTTTGATTTTTAATCCGTTTAATTTCGACTGTCACTAAAGTCGTTATCAATTATTGCGTGTTTAATCTGTTTATCAAAACCTGTTTAGCTAATACCGGTGGTTGCGTAATTTGCTGGAACTAATTTCAACTTGCTTAAATGTAACTCCATTTAAAACAGCTAAATTGAATATTTACTTGAGTTTTTTATGCACATTATCAACTTGCGATCGCCTATGAAGAAGAACTTCCCTATTTAACGTTGGCCGCTTCCCTTATATTACAACGGCTTCCAGAATATGTAGTCTTTCTTTGCATCAAGTTCTATATAATAATTTAGTCTTATTTATTAATATCATTTGTTATGATTTATATTTTATTATGATTTTGTTATGATTATCATTTTTTATGATGAACAAACTATTTAACATATTCAAAATGCTCCCCTTCATGTTCATTACGAGGCTGAATTTTGCCAGCAACACTTCTAGTGAAGACAGCAGAAACGCAATTGCTCATTGGTGGATAGGAGATGCACCTCAGCTCGGAATTAAGATTTAAGAATTCTCGATCACGTAAGGCACAGTTAGACGACGCGACAACGTGTAGAAAGTAAATGTCGTTCCAATTTCTAACTGTCGGTTGCGTAATTTGCTGGAACTAATTTCAACTCACTTAAATGTAACGCCATTTAAAAGAGCCAAATTGAATATTTACTTGAGTTTTTTTTTTTTTTTTATGCACACTATCAATTTACGATCGCCTATAAAGAAAAAACTTTCTATTTAATGTTGGCTGATTTCCTTGTCCCTCCACGCAAGCCGATAGTGGCCCGGGGGTAACATTGCCGAGACGAGTGGCAGATTGGTGGCTTGTGTGTAGGATTATTACAATGGTTACTAGAGTTTTTAGACTTTCTTTGCATTTAGTCCTGTACAATAATTTGGCGTTATTTATTAATATGACTTTTTATGATTAACAAACTATTTAACATGTTCAAAATGCTCTCCTTCTTGTTCAATACAACACTGAATGCTATCAGCGACATTTCTACAAAGCATTTGACACAATTCTACATTAATTTCAGAAGATCTATCAGAAATGTCTTGTTTTAATTCAGGAATTGTTTTCGGTTTGAATCTGTAAACAAGATCTTAAAAAAAGATCATAAGCAATAAAGTCGCGTGGTGTTAGGTCTGGTGATCTTGCAGCCACTCAATTGTTCCAATGTGGATAGGACATCCATCTTAGCTCCGAATTAAGATTTAAACATTTCCGATCGCGTAAATCCCAGTTGGGCGGCGCGATGTCCTTTTGAAAGTAAATCTCATTCCGATTTCTAACTGTTGGCCAGAATTCAGTTTGTTCCATTTGTAAATATTTATATTGAATAACAGTAGCATCAAAGAATATCGGTCCTATTATTCCCATGAATGTATTTATGACACAGACCGACATTCCTGGTAAGTTAACATCTTTTACCGAGATAATATGTGAGCTAACATCACTCCAGTGCACACAATTATGTCGATTGATTTACCCGTTCAACTTAAAGGTTGCTTCATCTGACCACCATGTCTTATCAAGAAAAGTCTCATCTTCATTGACTTTATTCAGGACAATTTTGCAAAACTTTAATCGTCTATCTGTGTCTCGGCATTTTAATTGTAAAATGATGAGACCATGTCAGCAATCTGGTACTTCCTCTTAGGTCCATAAGGTTTAGGTACCATAGAAAAAAGTTCATCAGACCAATTACCATGAAAATATTTATAGAAAAGGCAGAGGGAAGCTACGTTACGGCGGTGGGAAAGAGAATGAAATCTGGATATGAAGTCAAGACTAATAACATTGCATATTAGTCTTTAATTTTTATCAATAATCTCTAAATATATAGCAGGAGGACCTGACCAGACCAGACGTGGCAGCAATATTCTGAACAAGGACAAATGCTAGACTTATAAATATGTAAGATAAAAGCCTGCGAGAAACGTTTTCTAGTATGACACAGTGAAACAACTTTCCTAGCAGCACACTTAGCAATTGATTCTATATACACTTTTCATTTTATGCTACTGGAAAAAGTTAGTCCAAAAACGCGTAATGATTCATTTTTCTGGAGGTGATCATCAGCCATATTGATAGAAGCCCATTTTTTATGACAGTTTAGTATAAGAGATCAGTTTCGTTTTAGAGCCATTTCTTGCCCCAGTTGACAAAAATTTGTCAATCATTTTTTAGATCAGCTGCCAATTTGATCACATCGAACCTATCAAACTTACAAATAAGACAAAATTAAATAGTTATGTCATTGGCATATATACAGTGTTGAGAACCGATGGCATCAGGAAAGTCATTGATGAAAATTAGGAACAAGGTTGGTCCAAAGATAAAGTCCTGGGGAACACATGCATTAATGCAAAATAAGTTCTAGAAGATGGCCGTTCAAGACAAATTTCATTTTTCGTTTTGATAAGACGTTATAAGTTCAAAAATTCGTTCAGAATTTCGGCTTGTGAAGAACATTAGTATGCCAAACCCAATTAAATTCCTTTGCAATTTCAAAGCAACAGCCAAAGCTTCTCATCTAAAGTTTCTTTCACCCATAATCATTAATACATCAACAGTCGATCTAGGGAAACGAAAGCCATATTGCTTATCTGGAAGAAGACCACGTGAGATGAGATGCTTAACTAATTCAGAGTTAATTAGAACCTCTAACACATTGCCATGTTAATATGGCACCTTGCATTTATTGGAAATATTCATAGAAATATGAGTTAATTTTTTCTTATTCAGTTTATTAAACAGGTTGTTAATTTTTTTTTAAAAACGGAAAATAACTGAGTTGAAAATAATTCACTAAGAATGTACTAGACGATCCTAAGGAAAGAAGAAAAAGAAAGAAAAGAAAAGGGAAAAAAAAAGAAAGAAAGAAAATGTATGACGCATGACCCAGTTGATGGTAGAGATAGGTCTGCGTGTGGTCGACTTTTTTTTTTTTTTTAAAACAAAGGGAAGAATAAATTGGAAATAATAAAAGAGAAAGAAAGGGAAAAGACATGATATCGACCAGATGTCGGTCAGAGGCCTCTGACCGACTCTTGCGTGGAAAACCCCTTATCAATTTGGAGTGAAGAGAAATTTTTATTTTTTTTTTTTGAACAATAGAAACGAAATTTGTGATCTGAGAGAAAGTGTCTTTGGGTTGAGGGAAGTGACCAGTGAAAACGATATACGGAATTGACCTGTTAAGAATTGGACACCCACGTTAAGAAAGTAGAGATATTTCGACCTAGATAATTAAGATTTTCGACTATCAGGTAAAACAAAGAAGTAAAAAAGAGAGACAATTGCTTTTGGCTCACAGAGGGCGCCAAGAAGGCGGAAAAGAACCTTTCTAAAGTCAAGACTAATTAGAAGCGGGCTGTTTGACAAAGTCCAGGTGAAAGAAAGCTAAAGATTGTCATTTTGCGTACGTGCAAAAAGGTGCAAAATTGGATTTTGTTTTTTTTAAACAAGAACGATGTAACCACGCCCGCAAACAGAGGGGAGAGGGTGTTCGGTCAATAACAATTGGTCGAATACAATCACGTGACCGCGGAAGAAGAAGGAAAGAAAACCTCGATCAATAACTGTTGGACGAGGCGGTCACGTGGGCTGCGGAAAAGAAGAGAAAGAAAGGTT